ATCCATTATCCCTTTGACAAGGCGAGCGGTGGACGTAAACAATGCAATTTCGTTTGCCAATATCACAACGAGATTGAGCACACTTTACCAAAGGATTTTTCTTGTAAATAGAAAAATTAAATCTCTATTTGACCATAGATATTTTAGAGATACGATGACGGTTTTATAAAAGTAGGGAACGAATAAGCTGTTCGCAATCCGCAATTGTAGACGTGTTGCCTACCTTCAATCGACTAAGGTACAGACACAGTAAGATGTCCCCTTATTACGTGTCTCCTCCGTCAAATTCCTTCCCCTTTCCACCACTTCAAAGTGGGGCTTGGCCTCCGATACAAGAGATCGCCAAAGTCGCCTGTCTTGCGCCTTCTCCTGCCACTCCATCGCTTGCAGTTCCCGCTGGTCCAGTTCTACGGCAGTTAAAAGTAGTATAGAATAATTACTTTAACTTGACATATTACTTAACTCATTTTATAATAAGAAATAAGCATTTTAAGTATAAACATTAAGCTGTCTCTGAAGTTGTTATACTACGGTCGTCTTAGGAGAGCTTTGTCCTGTACCACACATGTCATTTAAAGAGCTTTATGGGGCCGCACTTTGAATACGGTTTAGGGAAGCACATATTTTTCTATTTATATCTTTTATAGGTATAAATAACTCCTATTTATAGTCGACAAAGAGTTTATACCAGGAAATATAAGAAAAATGATTGAACTAGCTTTTAGTAGAAAAATAATATACGAAGCAGTTTTTTTTTTCAAAGTGGAAAAAAATAGTTTTTCAATAAATATTCAAGCATTTTACGGTTGGTTTCTGAAATCTATATCTCTATATAAAACATATATTCATAACAGTGATGACAATATGTTTTAAACTTGAGATTTTGGTCTTAGAAACCCACCATCAGTTTAAATATTTACATTAATCACTGTTTAACACAAATTATATTTTTATTTCAATAATTCATACATTCTAAGTTAAAAATCATGTTATAGATATTAAATTTAATCTTTGTTTTGAGAAATAAAAGTCATGTTTTGTACCCTAACATTAGTACTCTGTCAAGGGTCTAGTGGAAATGGCCCTTTGACTAATGTGGGGTCAACTAGTTGACAGGTCGCGGGCTGGAAACGAAAAAGAGAAATGGCGGACACCAAAATGGCCGCCGTGAACGTGTTTTGCATTCACTACGATGTTTTTATGTGGTACCGTTGGCCTTTCAAATTCAGCGTCGCTTTGTTTTCTTAAATTAAATTGTAAAACAGTATTTACTGTGCAAGATCTTTTTATTTAAAGTTCTGTTTAAACTGAAAGTATATTGGTAGAATTTTAAATTATTTTACACGTATTTATATATATATATATATTTGATAAAAATATTATCTACTAGATGTCGCCTCCAACTCCATCCAGGTGGGATCGTGGTCAAGCGCTAGCTTCCACTTTAATTTCCTTTGCAGGGGCCTAGAGCCTGAAGACTAAACTAGTGTTGATGAATGAGCTGACATTCCATTGGTCTTCTCGCTTTAACCTGCTTGTACTTAATCCGTATATTTACTTTTTTTTAGCAAATTGTATAATTGTTTATGTTTAAGTTACGCTCATTTGTCACTCTGTCAACTAATAGTGTCATGTCACTTAGAAAAAAAAATCTAAACGCGTTACGGATTACTTAGAGGAAGTCGAGTGAAGTAATTAATTAGTTTAGGTCCCGAAGTTTTCGCGCCGTAATTTATGTTACATTGAATTATGTGTGAAAAGTAGGTAGAGTGATTTTATTTAAGAAATCTTTTCTCGTATTAAAATTTAATCAATTTTTAAAACATCCTGTAGTTACAGTCTATGCCCAAAAATTTTACATTTTAGGTACACCCTGTATCTTCTATTGTTAATATCAATAACGACTTATAAAATAGTTAAGTTATTAATAAACTAGTTGTCGAACGCGATTCCGTCCGCGCGGAATTATAAAAACTTAAGTAGTAGCCTATGTATTCTTTCATACTATGTTATATACATGTAGCCGTTCCGGAGATACCTTCAAATAAATATTCATCCATCCATCCATCCAAACAATCGTATTTATAATATTGGCACACAACTTTTACTAATAAAGTGATATTTAATTTGTACCATATTTGACCAACATGTGCCAACATTGGTGTTCAAATCGTATCGTTAGCAGCATAATTTAGTGAGTCTGTAATCGTTCAAATTGTTTGAACAAACTTGCCGTTCGCAAACCAATATGGTTTTATTTGTCCATTCGTTTTCCTTAGCTTTGAGCACGTGCTTAATAAAATTAGAACCCATTAAGTACTTTTCCGGTGAGGATATTTGCAGTTTAGTAACTGTTGTGTAGATGATCACTAATAGTCGAATATTGATCGAAATTCCACTATAATTATTAAAAATATCACATCTTTCTTACCGTGGGCTTCTGATACCAAAATCTCTGTATAAAATACATCGTCCTCTGTCTTTCATCTTTGATAAAACAGAGATATCTATGCGTTTTAAACGGAGATTTTTGTCTCAGAAACCCACGGTTAGAAATTTATTTAATAAGTGGTACAAAGTTTTCTCTTCGCGTATGAATCTTAACGACAAAATGAATATTCAGTTTTTTTTTAATTCCTAACGAACAGAGTCGTGTACAATAGCTAGCAATTATTAAACTAATCTTACTAATATTATAAATGCAAATGTTTCGATTGATATATGGATGGATGTTTGTTTCAAGATATCTCCAGAACATCTGCATATATCTCGCTGAAATTTGGCATAGAAGTAGAACATAGTCTAGAGGAACACATAAACTATTAAGTTTTTAATACTGCTCGGACGGAGTCGCGGGCGACAGCTAGCAACTTAACAAATTATCAAATATAATAGCTTGATTTTAAGCATGTTTTTTTTCTTAAAAACTTAAAAAGTAATTAGCGAAATATGATTTAGAACCTCTTTGAACTTCAAAACTTGCTTTGATAAGTCACTTTAAATGTTAATTTAGATAAACGAAAGTCTTTTAAAAAAATAATTAAGGTATAAAAAAGGCGTTGCTAATTAAATTATACAGGGCAACTCACAAAAATTGAGTTTCCACAAAATTAATTTTTAATCGCCCTCAAATTTTGGTATACATCGCGGAACGTCCGGTTTACAATCACACCGTAATGATAAAATTATAACCAGAATTATAGCGCACTGTTACGGTGCGTATAAACAACGTAAACTTAAACCAATGTATCTCGATTTAGTTAAAAACAACAAGATGTATATTAGCTGTAATGTAAATACTTGGTGCCATTAAACAAAAACTGGTTTACTGTTCTAAAGTTTTTTAATTAAAATTACATACAATTAGAAAACAATGCAATTCTTTAAAGCATTCAATACGGTGTAATAGAAGGCCACTTTAATTTCTAATTCGGAGTTCGTTTGAGGTTGAACAGATCTTTATTGGGGCACGGACCCACATTAAGTGGTCCCCTCAGATGTCCTTTTGATGGCGGAGCGGTCGACACTTGTGACGTCAAATAATTGACCCTTGTTTGGATACACACTTTGCATAGTAAACATTCAGTAAGATTTTATAAATTTAATTGAAACGAAAAGTACTTTTAAAGAATGCATCTAACATTCGAATATTGGGCTTCCACTCTTGAAGTTTACAACACTTCTATTAAATAGACTTATCGCTGGTTTCTGAGGCCAAAATAAAAAATATTGTTATTTCTGTTTTGTCAACAGTTATAACAATATGTTTTAAACCGGTATTTTGTTGTCAGAAATCAATGAAAGCTCTCTATTAACCGGTTATAAGCCATGGTATTTTGTGCTTATTTGATTTCGTCATGGTTGCTTTCGTAGAGATGGTAAGGATTCCAACTAATGATAGAGATAGAATTCAGTGTCAGGAATATCACACGTTTAAGGCAGTACAAAGCAAAGGCCGTATCTCAAACTTATCTGTATCTGCATGCGAAATCTGCTAAGGAACTTAACTTGTTGTATGACATTAGAAAATTGTAGTTGGTTGAGATTGAAATTAAAAAATCAAACGTTCATTATTTTAGATTTTATTAGTTAGAATCCTTTGGCGCGAATGGCGTGCTTCCGTTACCAAGTCAAGTGTCAGAATGATTAGTGAGGGGACATAAACGTCGACATTTTAGTAAGGCTAGAGTTGCGCCACTACACCAGCATAGTGTCGGATTTTCTTCCTAACAGTTGTGACAAAAAGTTTTCCATTTATTTTGAAAATGGAAGACTTAAAAAAATGACTGTCGTAAATTAATTTATAAAGCAAAGGAAACCATTTTATTAAATAAACTAAAAGCGTTAATTGGCTCGCTATGAAAACCACAAGAAGTAGGTTAAAGGTTAAAGAAAATACAAAGTTATGCCGCCAACTTGAAGTTGAACTTTTGTATCGATTAATTACAGCTTCGCGGTTATTATTCAATAAATTGTTAAGTTTAATATAAATCACATGGCTTCGATGAGTTTGACATAATTAGTCTTTTATACAAAAAAACAAAAACAATATATATTAATCCTTGTTCACATTGTCATGAAACTATTTACTATAACGTGTTCTATATTTGTGTGGGTTTCTGTTCCAAACATGTGTCAACATCGAGATGCTCGGAGCTTATCCAAATTGTAGACTAGGCCATAATCAACCACGCTGGCCCAGTGCATGACTTCACACATATCTTTGAATTTCTTCGCAGATATGTGTAGCATCACGATGTTTTCCTTCACTGTAAAAACGTCGGATAAATGTACATATGTAAATCGAAAATCTAAAAACATATTCGTAGATGGTAATTTCTTAACAAATGCGCCTTATCCGGTCACAATAATTTATGTGTATTTTTTATTTTATATGTGTTAACAGATAGTTTTAATTTGGAAAATATACTTTTAAATGTTCATAGATTATGTTTATTAAACATCGTAATTTATTATTAATGAAATTATTTCTTTTACAGGTCGAGAGTCAACATAGAACGCGTACGTATTAAAATTGTACAGTTTTTTTTTAAATATCAGTCCACTTATCTTTCTTTATTTTATAAAGTCCGAAAGGAGTAAATGGACACAGGAATTCGCCGAAAAGGCGAAGTACCCGGTACCCACTGTTAGGAAGAAACTCCGAATATGTGCCAGTGTACTCAACACTAGCCTTACTAAAATGACGACGTGCATGTCCCTTCACTATTCTGACACTGGACATTGTAACGAAAGCAAGTCATTAGCACCAAAGGATTCTAACTAATAATGTCTAAAATTCCAGACATCCACATTTGCAGACGCGTTAATTGATAGAGGATGTACTGAATGGGCCGTTTACGCTTTCTATGCGTCCCTCTTTCATCATCAACTTTCCCTTACCATCCTTTCATCCAAAAAATCATAAATATAATAGAGAAATTTAAAAATAAATCATCGAAAAGTATACAAATTCATAATTCAAGCAGATGAATCATTCACAGATAGATTTTATCAGATTGCACTTTATCGACCATATGCCATCGGTCAACATAACTTATTTTAAACTCTATTGTGTAAACCATAAAGTATATTTTCGTATGCACATCGAATCAGATACCAATATGTAATATTTTTTAACGGATATCAGTTTATGCATAGTTTATATATATATAGTAGAGTATAGGTCAATCACGTAATACTCACGCTCATAACACAAAGGGGTAGACAGGGAATCTAACTCCATGTAGGATCGATGCGTACTCTGAAAGTTTCAGCGGGATCCGTTCAGCCGTTCTGGAGATACCTCCAAACCAACATCCATCCATCCATCCAAACATTCGCATTTATAATATTAGTAAGAAGTAAGATTCAATTTTGCGAAGTAAAAAAGTCTACATGCGACATGAGTGTTCTCTACATCTTCAAAGCTGTAGTTAAAAACTTAACTGTGATTACCTTCACCTCACATCAAAGACTTAGGTGTTACTAAGTGCGTCATTCAGTCGATGCATTAACACCAAACACGTCTAGACGACAAATGATTCAACGGTACCAACGTAAAGGGCTTAACAGAAAAAAAACTCGTGACAGTTCCGGTGGCGGTGGACAAACGGCCTAGTCTACTCGTTGCTCACCAATTTTTTTATATCATAAGGTGGCAAACGAGCGGGCAGCCACCTGATATCGCTGAAATAGCGAAGCGACCGTTGCCCATAGACATACATTGTATGCGTTGCCTACCTTTAATCGGAGTAGAGGATGCTTAGAAAGAAAATATTTTTCATTTGTTTTTAATAATTTCTCTTGGCTATTTAATAAATATAAATTTGCATTTTATTGTTAATATATTCTCTCGTGTAGCTTAATTTCGAATGAAATAAATTAAGTGAGGCTTCAATTAACACAAATTCATGCGAAACTGTGAAGGCTTATAGACTGCGAAATATACTGTTTATAATTATAATTAAAATATGTCATGTTATGCTCTGTCCATTATTTTATTTATTTACTAACTCTCTCCCGCGATTCCGTCCATGTGGAATTGAAAAAAACAATTTAATTAGTAAACTAAGTGTTCTTCCAGACTATGTTCTAAAGTTTTAAGAAGAGCTTCATTTCACGTGTTTAAAACATCCTGTAGTTAAAGTCTTTGCCCAAAAATTTTACATTTCAGAGACATCCTGTATCTTCTATTGTTAATATCAATAACGACTTATAAAACAGTTAAGTTATTAAAAACAAGCTGTCGAACACGACTCTGTCCGCGCGGAATTATAAAAACTTAAGTAGTAGCCTATGTGTTCTTTTAGACTATGTTCTACATCTATGCCAAATTCCATCGAGAATCATGGATCCGTTCTCAAGATACCTTCTAATAAACATCCATACAAACATTCGCATTTATAATATTAGTAAGATAATATGTTTTCACCGATGAGTATGCGTGCCTGAGACTTTATTTTAGTGCACGTTTAATACCCACTATTATTTGACAAAACAGACTTTTAAACGGGGATTTCAGTCTCAGAAACCCACGGTTAGAACAAGTGTACCAGTGAAAATTAAAGGTGATTTTAAAATTCATCAAATCTTACGTAATTGCAACGAAATGTGAAATAGCATTAAGCATTGTTCACGGAACAAGATTTCTTGTTCCACTTGCCGGCACAAGTTTTTCATTATTTACGAATAAAGAAATAACTTTATGACGCGGAGCTAACAATAACCTTTACAAAATGTTTTATTTAAATGTTTACAACTAGTTAAAGTTTCACTACACGACTAAACGACGGAGGAGGGGATGCACAGAAAGAAAATATCTTCCGTTACCATGAATCCTCTCATCCGGAAATTCCACTTCCACTTCCCATCCTTTCCTTATAAGAAAAAGGGTGGGAAAATAAAGAGGACTTAATTAGACCACCGAGACGCACACTCATCAGACGACAATAAATTCTACTATTTTCGTCAATATGTGAAGCGACATCTGTCGTTCTAAATTTAAAAATTTTCACCTTAAACGGCATCACATACAAAGTAGAACGAAGCTTGATGACGGGATAACGGTATGTCCTGGATTCCGGGTGCTAATTAATATTTCATCGGGTCTCAGACTTCATTAGACGAATGCTGAATTTTTAATGACCACCACGAGAGATGTCGCAGCGTCTTAGTGTGTAACACCCGTAGTACAGAGACAAAAGCGAGGCGAAAGCGAAGTGATAGAAGAGCTATCAAATCACTTGGTCGTTTGTCAACTTCACTAAAAACATTCACTTCACTAACAACACAAAACACATCACAAAAATGTACAAAAACTATTGCTATCTCCCTCTCTCTGCATGCAAAGAAAAAGACGTAACAATATTCTTTTGTACATTTCAGCATTAAAAACCGATAATAATTAAAGCGTTCAGTTTTTTTGTCTCTGTCTCTTACGTGGTGGACGCAAGAGACAGAGACTAAAAACTCGTTTTTGTTTCACATCGCTTTGGCGGTTGTGTGCTACATGCATATAATCCGCTAAAGCTAGCTATTTACGAACAACTCTGGTTACCGATTCAAATCAGTGTTCCATACAATTGAATTTAAAAGCAAATTGCGGTTATGGGTTTAACGAAATTTACACAATTGGATTCAGTTTATCTTTAAATATACATATATAGTTGTTATTCGCATTTATTAAAGTTGCTTTTATTGGATTATTAACTGACTAACTCTCGCACGTGATTTCGTCTGCGCAGAATTAAAAAGCTTACTTAGTAGTCTGTGTTCTTTCAGACTATCACTCCTCCATCCATAGAAACATTAGCTTTTATAATATTAGTAGAACTAGGTTTTATAAATACATCCAATTTCAACTGTACCAGAACCATGTAAGACTTGACAACTCCTAGGTAGTATTTCCAAACAAATACGACTTAGGGACCTTCAAGAAGCGAGCATACCATTTCCTTAGAGGCCGGCAACGCATCTGCAGTTCCTCTAGTGTTGCTGATGTCCATGGGTGTCGTTGATCACCTCGGTGTTCCCGCCACTCGTTTGCCCCATTCTCTTAAAAAAAAAAAACTTTTCAACAAAAGGGACCATAATTTGGTCTCTGATAAACACATTTAGCAGACGAAACGCCTGTCTTCTGTGTGGTCTTGAGGCCCTCAGTGTGCGGACCATTTGGTATAAAAAAAAAAATTAAAAAGCTTAAAATCTTACTAATATTATAAATGCGAATGTTAAGATGGATGGCTGGATGGATGTGTTACAAGGTCTATAAAACTGCTGCATGGATCTTGATCTTCTGATTCTTGACCATAGTCTGGAGGAATACATAAGCTTCTATTTAAATTGGATTAATTTCGCTCGGACGTAGTCGCGGGAGGCAGGTAGTGTATTATAAATTCAGCATAACACACTTTTGGAATACTTATATGAATGTGTCACCAAAAAGCTTGTATATGACACATCAACTGATAGATAAAGTAACTTCTAAAATGGATTAAATAGATTTCGTTTAAGTGTTTTGGATGTTGTTCTGGTTCACTTAACATTCTTAAATTTGGAAATCTTTGATGAATCATTGACAATTTTGTAGCATTATAATGTAAGTTTTGTTTCTTATAACAAGTAAATAATCTCTTCGTACGCCTGTCCTTGTTCCTATGTGGCTCGTTATAGTATGTACTTCTCCTCCATACATGTCTATCCATAAACATATCTGATTCACTTCTTACCTATCCTTCTTACTTACTTGTCTTAAATGATCTCTTAAACTCTAATTATAATTATACAAGCTGTTGCCCGCGACTCCTTTCACGTGGAATGAATAAAAACGTAAATAGCCTATTGCGTTCTTCCATGCTATGTTCTACATCTATGTTAAATATCATCGAGATCCATGCAATCGTTCTCGAGATACCTTCTAATATCCATGGATCTTTCCATACATTCAAATACTCGTATTTATAATATAGTAAAAAGATAGTAAGATTATAAAAGCGTTTAATATATGTATGTTTGCAACGTGATATTACAAACCACACAGACAAAGTCGTGAAACTAATGTTATATTTCTGCAATACGTGAACCAATATTGCATGAAATACGACTAAGGATCCTTCAAGAAGCGAGCTTATCAATCTCAAAGGCCGGCAACGCATCTGCGGTTCCTCTGCTATTGCTGATGTCCATGGGCGTCGATAAACACCTCGGTGTTCCCGCTGCGCGTTTGCCCCCTTCTGTTATAATATTTATAATCTAATCAAACAAGTTACTCTATTTTAAATAATGTTTTTTTTGTAGTTAAACTTGAAACTGTTTAGGCTCTTTCCTTATAAGATATCGTATTGTTTGTATTTGACATGTAAACGATATCCGGTTTTAAAACTAACCCTTTAACTAAAGGATTTATTTTACCACGTCATGTTTACTTAACAAATTCTGATGGGGATTTCCTTCTCGAGGCGTCAAAGTAAACTGTGAGAGAATATTTAAAATGTAAAGGACGGCAAAGTTACACTAGTTTT